AATTCCCGTCGACCATTGCTTACGCCCAATACATCGAAAAACACGTCCGTTGCGTTTCTGCGGCGTACGGGTCTCGTCGATCGTAGCCGCGAGTTACGAGGCCGTTTATTGCTTCCTCGATTTCGCGATCCGCTTGTCGTTTCTTATCACGATAGCCCGTGTTACATCACCGGCGCCGGTCGAATCACGGAGGACCTCTGTTCGGCGTGCCATTTTTACGTGTCGTACGGCGCGGCGCGTTGGTACGATGCAGGACCGAGCACCGATATCACGCCTTTTCATGACTTTTCATTAGCATATAAATAATACCCGAGCGAAAGGGGATGTGAGTGCTCTTTTTCGCGAGAGTTCGCCGTGCACGAGCAAGATCAGCGTTCCCCGCGCGCACGGGAAGAAAAGGAAGAGAAGGAGGAGGGCCTAAAGCCCCGTACACACGTCGAATCATGTTCCGATGCGCGCATCGGCAGTCGAATCGACGATGACGCGGGTTTTGTAAGATTAGTTTGTCTAAGGGAAAGGTTCAATTAGAGGCTACTTAAACAACCGTGTACTTTGTGAATGTTTTCGTTATGTCTATTCTCTTGTTTACCTGGAGAAACCTGCAACGTTGTTAATTTGCCTCCACAGTTTTCTTCTTAGTTCGTCGTATGACGTTAGTTACTGAAAATGTTAGTTACGGTGATTGAAAGCAGTAATTGAAAACCAGGATGATACTTTGGGTTTATTACTGTTTCAACGTTGTACTTAGTTATATAGTTCACTTGAATAGTATTTACAGAAGTGTGATCAATATATCAATAGTGTTAATAGGGAACTACTAATTATTATATAAAATTTCAATTACATCGCGAGGAGATAGAATAACGATATTGCTCGGATAATTTCGAATGGCAAGGCAAATTTATCAATAATACCACTTAGAACCGTAAGAACAGTATTTACATTATGAATTGAGGTTATGTAAATATAAACATCTAATATTTAATATCTAATCTTAATCATAAGATGTTTATTATATTTGTACTATATGTATATCGATAATATAAATACAATAAACATCTCATGCTAAATTTAGCTTAAACTTTATACACGAAACATCGAATGTTTACTTACTCAACGTTATTAGCACATTTACCTTAACGAACACAAATCGGAGAGGTTATCCTGAAACCTAGCAGTCGATGCATCGTAATACGTTCGAACGTGTGCACGGGGCTTAAGAGAGAGACCCGGGCTGAAACAGTAGTAGTGACCCCCGGGGCTATGTAGCACCAAACAAGAAATCCCTTCTGACGTCACCGGCAGGTGCATCCAAGCAGCCTGTCCTTCTTCAGGCCGAGGTCTCGCTCCACCCTTCGGTTTGCTCCTTTCTCGTTCCAGCGCGATGGCGCGCCCCTCTCGTTTTCCTTTTCCAGCCTCGACCGTGTAATCGTACTGATTTCATGATCGAGATACCAGGTTTCCCTCCGCCCGGCACGGATTTGGTTACCTGCTTACATGACGCTGCCTGTTTACGTGTTTGTTTTACGGTGCACGGGGACGGACACAGGTTCCTCCCCGGCCCGGGAACCCGCGGATTAAAATTATAGCTATACGTCTCGTTGACTCCTCGGCTCAAATCTTCTTTAGATTAAAATCGTCACACTGATGCCCGCTTCTCGGACCCTTTCCCTGAACGCGCCCGTTGCACAACCGTTTCGGTGTGATTTTTCGCTTGAAGGGTGTACAGTCGATTCTGCTTTTTACGCGATTTTTGGTTCAACGTGAATTGGAAGGAATTTATTTTCTTGTAATTTAATTTCATTTAATATAACCTGGTTACTTAAATTTGAATATGAATTTTCATATGGTTTAGTGTATTGTTTTGTTGATCTCTCAGGAACTAATCTATTGTTTTAGGACAATATAGGTTCTACACGTAACATTTCTGTTGTAAAAACGGAATTGGTAATTTGATGCATTGTATGCTTGAATTAGTGTATTTGGATGTTTTTAATATGATTGGTTCTATTTATGGCTTAATTGTTTGAAATGTTTTTGGTTCTTTGGTTGGGGATTTGTGTCGATGTTACTTAACCCTTTGTCCTAGAATTTCTTGAAGGACTGTGCTCGTCCTTTTCGAGATTCGATAACTTCCTTTGTAAATTAAAAAAAGAAGTTCCTATAAATTTATGTTTTTTCCATTACTTTTTATTTTTATGTATTTTCTACGCCATGTATTGAATTTTTTATATTAAAATTACTGTTACTCTTAGAACTATCATTGAAGATAAAACATAACAAACTTCGTTATCTTAATGATAAAAAATTAGTTTGAGATATTTGTATAATCGATAAACTGCGGGTCCGAGTGAACTTTCGTGATTGCTGATAGGTTCGGTTTTACGAGGATTAAGATAAAAAATTGTTTTTTGGCAAGTTATTGTTACCGAGAAATATCTACACAGGAATATCTATATATAGAATATTCGAAAGTAATTAATGAAATCAATTTCGTTCTTAGGCACTGTCGATCGTATTGTTTATGAGGATTTCAAAGCGAGACACTACATTACAGAATATAATTAAATTTATTGGAGTAACATATGATTACTGCGATCGTAATCATAGCTGTAACATTTATCCGATTTAATGTCAGATGTAATCTCGGCGAACTGGTTTTTGACAGTCAAAAGTCCATTTATGCAAATCTCGTTCTTGTTTGCAAAACCAGAACGTTCGGCTGATCGAGAATAAATAAACGAACTTATTTACGATCGTGCAATCTCGAAGATACGAATCTTCGAGATAAGGCTCAATGAAGGATGAAACCCCAGAATATTTGATTCATAATATACTTATATCTTTTTATTGAAAATCAAACTCTCATATAGCTGCAAACCTCCGGTCGTGTTTGTTCAGAATTACGTTGACACGCTGATCAATTGGAAATAAAAAGTACGTAATTTTTAAGTATGGTAAATCTTTAAAGCATCTGAACGGTTTCATTCTTTTATAAAATTCGATTTTAATTCATAAAATTTAATTTAATGTATAAAATTCCATTGAACCTGTTGCTGTTTCATATTTTCAAACAAGAACATCTTGCTAGAAATATCCAGTAATCTATGACATCTTGTTTAGCCTTTTTCATTTGATTTTGTTGAGTTATCTATATTTAATTGAACAAAACTGTACAAAGAACAATGCACACTGTTCTTGTATCATTGATTGGTATACCATTGTTCCGTTTCTTCTCGCTGTTCTACAAAAGAAACTGGTAGTACAAATGTCCTAGCGATATTAGAAATAGATAATACTTTATATTTTTAATTTGCTGTGTATTTATTAAAAAATACAGAAGATATACAAATATCTAAGGTAGCACCTCACTTAATATTATCAATTTTAATACAATAGTTTACACATTATGAAAGATCCAGTTTTCTCTATAACAAATGAAAATAATTACAAAACGAACATGTTTTCTATCAAAATAATACAAACAAAACTGTACTAAACCGTCATATTTTCAATCTTCACACAAGCTACAGCTACATATCCGCCAAAATGAATGTAATATTTGCTCACAAAAGCATCTAGTATAATTTTCATCGTAAAACAAACAAAAGCTGATTCCGTTCCATCGGTCCCAATTTCCTTCGAACCACCATTTATTTTTCAATCCGTTAAACCTGCCTCCATTCCGCAAAATTTTTTTCCATCTCGATCGATTCTAATCGCGAACGGAATCTAATGGGGATTCATAAATTTAAACTACGATTCAGGATTCCGAATCGTAGAAGATACCGAGGGAACAATGCGTAATTCAAGCGGGAATAGGAGCTCGAAATTAGAAAGGGGGGAGGAAGGGTGGAGAAGGTCGCCGGAAAAGGAAAAACAGAGGGAGAACGCTAACGAACAGAACGGTAGACAAAAAATGGGTCTCCTCGGTTTCGCCCGGGGCGAAAAATAATCTGTAATACGGGCTACCGTATTCGTTTTTTGTTTCTCGCCCGTACGGGGCTGGTAATCGTTTTCGGCAGGTAGGCAACGGCTTTTCGGAGATAGAGATCTTCGTAATCGGAATTTTATATCTCTCTCCCCTCCGCCAGGGGGCAGCAGGGTGAATTTTATAGTAGCTCGACCCTATTACACTTTTTTCTCCGGTTATTAAATATTTTTTTAGCCGCGCCGCTGCTCATCGATACAAATTTTAGGTTATTAGGGCGGCACCGCGGTGCAATCTACACGAATTACTTCTCGAATTTCCTATTTGACGGATGGAGAGTCGGACGGGCGTTTGTCTTTTTTCACCTGTGGCTTCGCTCTGTGGAAGCGTCCGTCGATTCCCTTTCGTCCCGTCTCGTCTCTTTCCGTTCGCATTCGAAACGATTTGATTGCCTGCGAATGGAGTGTCAGGGGGGACTGGAATATTAGCTACTACTTCCCTCTGTTTCATTATTCTTTTATTTATTAACCCTTTGCGCTCGTGTGTCATGCTGGAGGTGACAATACAAATTTGTTGTAGGACATTGGAAATTGTTTTAATAAGTACCACGCTTTAAAAGATTATAAAAATTATAATCTTATAATAATAATAAATCTTATAATAATAAATGAAATAAATATAAGTTGCTAATTAAGTCATTTATTATTATACAAAGAAATCATATTAAAGAAATGTTGTATTGTTTTATTTACAGAATAACCAACATTCGGTATTGATAGCGTATGTGTTTCTTTTCGATGGAATATTATTACTGTTTGCACTTTTCGATCGGATTCATTTCATTTAAGGTCTCTTACGTGATTCTAAACTTTTCCAATATATATATTACTGAACATTTGGTAAGTTCTGTTAAAAATATTAAAGTCACTATATAATAAATTACACATGTTCCAGATCTTGATGCTTTTACCAGTTTTCATAAATAATTTCCTATTCTCCCTCTTACACATTCCCCATTACGCACCAAACTCGCACGTTCGTAAAACATCCCCTTCTTATTCTGTTACAGCTACAGGAAAAGTGAAGCGATAACATTGCCTACTCAACACTCATCAGTCGGTAAGTCAGGTAGTTTCTTTACTAAGAAATCCACTCTAACTCGATCACCAAACAATAAATCAATTCAATCGTCGCATCAGTAAAACACAGTATCGCGTAGTCCCTCGATTTCGGCCGTTTCCGCTCTCATTTCCATTTCCCTCAGTAATCGATAAAATCGAGCACACCGACAGTTATCCAGACGGCGCGATATTCCTCCGAAGATGGATCCAGCGTCGGGTAAATCCTTTATACGGTTCATCTCGGCTGTCCATCCTCGAGAATCACGCAGAATCCTTTGTCCCGTCGACCGATCCGTGGAACTTTCAAGGGGTCACGATAATAAAAGCCCAGGCAGTGAAGCGGGCCCTTCCGATCCTTTTCAAAGCATCATCCGACACCGGAGAAAGGGGGATGCAATATTATTCAAAATCATGAAATTCTCCGGTGGAATTTCGTTATTTCCAAGCCTATTCAGGCTCGTAGATGCATATCTTGCGTCGCTGAATGGGCTACCGTACGGGGTAAGTTCCCGGTTCGAACAGAGCCAGCCACCCCCGCCGACCCAGAATCGAACCGGCGGAGTCCAGGTAGAAAGGGTCAAACCTGCGAAAAGGGCACACGTGGCGGTGCCGTGATTCGTGGCGCGTACGCGCATCTGTCCGCGCGTTCGCCCGCGGAGACCGCTCTGTTGGACGCAATCGTGAAGGGACGCGTCGATCGGGGTACGCGACGAATCGGTCCGGCCCGGATGAAAGAGGTTCTCCGATCCCGCTTTCATCGGTTCGCTCCCGTACGTCCCCGATTCACTCTTTCCGTCGTTCTCGGGAACGCACGGCGAAGCGCGACGACACCCGTAAGAAAATACACTTTTCGCAGCTGTCGACATGTGCAGCCTTTCTTTTCCTGTTTTGTGGAAAAGGACCAGGTGCGATTACGCGGCTGCCCGATTAACTGGCGAACGGCTGCGACATGTTCCTTATCGTTGCGCGATTGAATTATTCGATTTGTCGCTCGACGCGTTGCACTTGTTCACGTGGTACTGGCTCCCGGCCGCTGATTCTTTTGTGCTCGGACGCGGTAACCCTTTCGCAGGTGAACCCTTTCTCCGTGGCGATCCTTTCTCTCATTGTTCCCGGCATCCGCCAACCCTTTCGACCGGCACGCAGGTAAAAGGGTTGAGAATGTGGGTTAGAGGATCGCGGCAGGTTAGTCTCGTTAACGGTACCGACTAACGCAACTTCGATTCTTGTGGATGCTGTTACTTTTTTTTGACCGGTTGCTCTGTCATTTCTTTCTCAACTATGATCGGTACAACCATTTTGTCGTTAACTCTTTATCTTACGATTTATTCCTCAGTTATGGTCGTACTATTTTGCCACTAACACTAGGTTTAAAGATATTTATTGTACTTATTCTATTGTTGCTAGACAGATTGATGTTCGTTTGTTTAGATCTTGGAAATTAGATGTTTGAGGATGTATTATTAGAAAACATATTCGCATCAATCAAAATCGTTTTAAACACTATTTTGTTTATTTGTTGTTCTTAGAAGATCGTGAGTTGTAAATTGGATGAATTATTTTTGGGAGAAGTGATTCACGTGAAGTTTGTTATGAAATATTTAGTGTTCAGAATGTCGTGTATTATAGTTTAAATATTTATGGAGATTTGTTTTTATAGGTGAGTATGAAGAAACTTGGAATGGTATTAGTTAAATGGAATTTAATTTTTTGGTAAAAATGGCTGCAGTTAATTGAAAATAAGCTACCACTGCTTTTACTTTGATTAGAAATTATATTCGATTGCATTCTTTAGGTTTAGTAATTGAATTCTTTCGGTGAAATTTATTTCGCTAGATTCTTGCGTTAAACTATCACATTTATTGCTGAATCACGCTTTTAATCAATTATCTGGTATCGCCTAACTCTCGTGAAGTTCACATAAATGCTAGCATAGCGAAAGCTATAAAGGTCATCGTCAGACTTCAGATATTATGCATGCATAGTGCGTACGGTTTTCTCAAATTTATTATATTTAAATATAAGAAATTTTAATTCAAGTTAATCAAACTATAATCATTTTAAATATGTCTCTAAATTCTCTTTATTTAATTAATCAATACATCATTTGAAAATGTTAACCACCCTTTTTATTTTAACGTTAATCGATTCTTTGTTTTCGCTATTATAAAATAATTTAAATATGTTGGAAACCATGTTGGAAATTACAGGCATACAACCACGCCAATGAAGTAAATTGTTAGTTTTGTCGATAAACAATTTATAGCATATCTATCGCGCCTTTATTGAACGAGTATTACTTTTAGAAACCGTATTTTCTACGTTTCCCTGGAAAATGGTCTACTGATACCGGGTCAATTGCTAGTGTCTTTATATAAAAATGTACAAATATCCTTTTCTTAAATAATTTTTTCACATCATTTTCTAAAATACATTTGTTACACGATTTTCTGAGATAAGCGTCGACGTTTGTATATTTTTATAAGGTATCCCGCTATTGTGCAACAGCAGCTGCGAGAAAGCTTCGTGCAAGTTCGAACGCGTCTTTTTCCCGCTTACAAGAGGCCTTTGGCCACGGAAGATTCTGTGAAGGCAAAAGGCTCCGTTTCGAATCGACCTGATTTTCTCGGTGCAGGTTCGAACCTGCTACCGCCATTCAGTTCACTTTTTAAGTGCGCCTGCGAGCAAGTGAACGAAACGTGTTCGAACCTGCCTCGGTTCGGAAATATAAAACGAACGTTGGCATTTGGAGACGTTTACAGGTTCATTAAAGAACCCGGTCATTAAATGGCGATTAAATAAATAACGGATTAATTATTTAGGAACTCGCCGAAGGAATTAATTGCATTTATTTTTTCATTGGAAGTAGAATAATAATACCATTGCTCGTCCTTATCCTTTTCCCCTTTTTACACGCGAGTTTAATGTCGCATCGACTGCGTAGCGTCATTAAGGACCATCGACAATTAGTTACAGGCTATTGTTACAATACAATCGAATTTCTTTAAAGAATTCTTTTAAAAATGGTTATTATACAACTGCTTTGTTTCGATGATTTGTTTTTATAATTTCGTTTGTTTGTGTTTTTCTGTCATTTTATTCCGTGTTGTTCAAATGTTTATTAGACATCAGGTACGACAGAGTGCTATAAATAATTTATGCTTCTTTTAGAACAGTAAATTCTATTATTTTATCGATTTACGTGTAAACGTGAAATACTTTTTCATGTTTTATTTGAAATGATTTAAAGTGATTTTGTCGGTAGTAGATTCTAATGCTTTATTCGCCTTTATTAGTCCACGGTAAGACGAACTACCAAGAGGTCGGAGTTTTGGAAAACTCGAGCAGGTTCGAACACGATTTCTATTGTCGTCCCACGCAAAACCATCTCAGGCGCCGTATAACGCGAAGCCTGCACCTATTCAGATCGTTACACCTTTCCTCGTGCAGGTTCGAACCTGCTTTTCCAGTGCATTTTTTCGAAATAGAGCATCTGTGCTACAGCAAAGTAAATTTTTACAATTTTTCTTATAAAACATAAAATAAATGAATTAGAATGTTACTATTACTTGGATACCTTCAATCGCCAATCACAAACAAATAAATAATAAATTGTAAATTGAAGTTTCACAGACCCCGTCAATCCGATGAACATTAAATTTTATAAATTCTCATTTAGTTTCATTTAAACCAATTTTTATTCGTGTAACTATACGAATATGTATTCTAATTCTGTTTTCAAAGCTCTAATTTCTAAGATCTATGAACGTCTATCTCTTCGAAAACAAAAGAATAAAGAATAAATCCGTAAACCTAGTGTTAATACTAAAACTACCGCATCAAATCGATCCATCGCAGTTTTATTTTGCAAGTATTTCAATTATAAATGCATTTTAGATACAAGACTAGAAGATCTTTCAAATCTCAAGAAACATATTCTTCTACTTTCTATGAAAAATTCAGAATAAGTCACCCGATCGATCGGTAGTTTTAACGTTAACACTGTTAAGATAAGAACTGCATACCTCCGGAACGTTTATAATGTCAATATAATAGCGTTAGAATGGCTGCAAGATCCGTTGCCTTTATAAGACGTCTCGTAGCGCAGCAGTCACGTTTCCCTTCGCCAATTCGAAAAGAAGCTGCATTTTTCGCGGAGGATTACCTCAGCCAGAAACCAGCGAATATAGCATTTCTAATCGAGCGGCTTTTCATCGCTGCAAGTTCGAACCTGCAACTACCATTGAATTTTCCACTGTCGCGGAACTGCGTTCCAGGTCACAGTGAAATGGAACGCGTTCAGACATGTCCGAGACTGGACATAGATCACTGTCCACCGGTTTTGTCCGAAAATCTTCTGCCGGATGCACGGGTCCCCGGAACCTGCGTCGCTTCAAAAGCAGATCCAATGTGGGTGGACAGAGGAATCCCGTGAAAAAAAGGTTCCGAAGGGTCGGTTCCTAACTCGCTCGCTCGATGCAACGGCACGCATCCTTCAATGGCGAATTCTGAATGCATCGTGTGAAATGGGATGGCTTTTCATGTGAGCCACTCATTGGGCAAATCGATTAACTCTGGAAAACAAAGAGTAGAGGAAAGTATTGTTAGATATTGATTTTTTAAAATTTCCTTTGGAATGTATTTTACTTGATTATCCAATTAACTGCGTCTCAAATGAAAAACATTGTTTAAAATAGAAGTGTTCCTTCTATTCATTGATACAGCTTTTCGAAAGTTCATTTTTAATAGAATGTCGTATTTTTCATGGAACTTGAACATCGTTGCCCTCTGTTGGAAATTTTGTGCATTGTTCAGGTATAGTAGACGTACACGGCAGAGCCCAACTCGCTAATTAACAAACAAATCCATCGGTTGTGTACAAAGTCCACCTGAGAGTATTTACAATTTGATTTCTGATGGTGGCGATAAAAGGGTTAAACACAGGAATTTGTGCTCTTACGATAATTGCCTCAAAGTACCATTACATCCGTTTCAACA